GGCTAAGGCGCAGTTGCCCGGCTCTGCTGCTGCCAAGAAAGCGCTCCTGAAGGAGACTCGCAGCGTGCGGACCGGACCGAGAGGCTCCGATTTTTGTCAAACTTCTAGGTTGAAACCCGGGATCTACCTCCTCGGCCCCAGGGGCGCTGCCACCTCAGTAGAGAAGGCGAAACCAATCTTTTTTCTCTCAGACCAGGCACCTGAGGTCAAACTGATTCTGACTGATTTGTAATGCCAAAGGTGATTTTCCTTTTCCACTACTTTATAGCAACCGCATCCGTCTCCCAAATCCCTGGTCAAGAGTTCCTTCGCTTTTCTGTGAACACTCCACCCCTGCCTTGCACAGTAAGGTCAGTGTCTCTTTGACCCCTACAGTAATTCAGCCTGATCTCAGAAAGGTATCATTCTTCTCTCCCCTCCCCACCCCAGTTGGACTTCATCTTTTCCCCTTCCCACTTGGGGCCGTTTGGAAGCGATGGGGAAAGTGAAGTTTGCCGAAATGTGGAACCTGCGCGTCGGATGAAACTCGAGGAGCACCAGAACAATAGCATTTACCTCTATTTAGGTTCAGGATTTCCACAAACAGGTTTTTTAAAGCCAAGCGCTGCTACTTCGGAAAGGGGTGGAAAGAGCAATGCAGATGCTCTTAATGCTGAAGGGATTAGCTGTTAAGTTCCAGATCTGTAAGTTATTTTTAACGCTTTGCTGGTTCGGGTTCTGAAAATCCAAATCCAAATGGAGAAACTAAATAGTATCATAAAGGGGATGGATACGAGACTGGGGGGAAACCGCGCAGATTCTAATTAGGGACTTTCTGTGAAGTCTTGGCCACCCGGGCAGTCCGGTGGCGGAGGACTCCAGGACTGCGTTCCAGGTCAGCGCGGTCGGGCGTCGCGTGGGCCTCGGCGGCCAGCGAAGACCCCAGCATTTCCAGCAACAGTCAGTCCGGAAGCCTGCACAGCCAATGCAAATGCGCCCCACCACGGCTTGTTCCCTCAGTGCCGCCTCTCAGAATCTTTTCTGTGGCAAGCATTTGGCACAAACAGGAAGGTTTTTTAAAAAGAATCCTGAATGAGTCTGCGCAGCTGGATAAGTGCAGTGCAAGTGGGGCGTGTATTTCGGCAAACCCCCGTTGCCCCCACCTGGGGACGAGCTCAGAGACGCGCTCTGCTACAGGCAAGAGCTTCGGAGGTGGACCCCGGGCGGCGCGGAGCGGTTCCAGCCCTCCCAGCGGAGCTGCGGGCAGCAACCGAAAGGGCCTCAGAGGCGGTGGTCGCAGCCACTGAATCCTCCCCAACGCTTGCTCCACGTGGAAGGAGCGCCCCACGTTGCGCCTCCCGCTACCTGCAGAAGCCATGGGAGACCCAGAAGGCTGAGGGGCGGGCGCACGCGAGAAGCTAAACTCGAGTTTCGCAAGGAGTGAAAGATACTCACGAAAGACGAGCGGCGGACGCGGCCTCAGGGCGGAGAAATGAGAGTAAGAGCGCTCGCTCAGGACTCTTCGGAGAAGCCCACAGCTGAGGCTCCAATTTGGAGGGAATTTTTAAAACTCACCACTTGGATTCAACATTGCAGACGATTTGTTTATTTTTCTTTTTTAACAATGCAACTCTGTCCCTGATGGGAAGGGACTGTGGTTGCCTAACTGCTGAACATTAACAACCGGCGAGAGGGTGAACCCAATTAGATTCCAAGCCCGAGAGTAAGGGTGTCCGTAAGCACAAACCTCCGGGTTTGCTAATCCACCAGTGCCGGGTTCAGACTTCCAAAACATCCCCGGAGTATTTCTAGAACCCTTTCCGCTCTCCTTATATACGCTATGATCAGAGCGAGGATTTTTTTTTTTTTTTCTTTAAAGAAAAACTGAACTATGCAGTTACCGCAAGAGGTTTGAGGAGGAGGGACTGGGGGGGCCTTTCGGTCTATAAAAAGCGTCCTACAAAGTCCTGAAGTCTGGAGAGGACAGTGGAGAATATAAAATTAAAATTTAAAAATCCAACCCACTTGCCTTCCTGCGCACAAGCCTCTGCTTAAATTCGTTTTCTGTCTGGGAGTGAGAGAACTGACAAAACTCTTTCCGTGGAAAATTCCATTTTCGTGCTATTCCCCTGCTTGAACACTCACAGACACGCATAGACACGCACTCTCTCTCTCTCACACACACACACATACATTTCTCTCCCTTCTTTGTTGCTAGAGACCTTTTCTTCACTTCTGTAACTGTCCCGAACCTCTTGTTTCTTTTTCAGAAGGAGACGGGGAGACTAACTGTGGATATATGTAAGCACAACATTTTTTCAGTCATAACTGATAAGTTTCTGAAATGCCTTCTGCATTGCAAACATGTGCATCTTAATAGAAAACATTGCTTTTTCTCAATCACCAGTTACAGCCTCACAGCAAATATTCCAGGAGGAAAACCTCCTTTCTTCTCTTTGAGAGATCCACTTGGCTTATTTTCTTCTTCATCCCCGTTTGGAATGGGAGATAGGAGGGGGTGGGGGTTGTTACAAAAAAAAAAAAAATGATCCATGGAAGCCCCTGCCTTACCTTAAGAAATCGAGCCAGCCATCATGAATGATGGACGGATCCAGCTGCAGAGAGAGGAAGTTTTCATTGACTGTCCTGATTGGGTTCTTGGTGCTCACATCAAGTAGAATCAGGGTCTTTTCCTTCAAACCTGGAGCTCTGTCTACAGGCAAGGGTCTCCTGTCTCCAGCTTGGGAGGAAAGGAAGAGATGGAGCAACAGAGCCAAGAAGAGAGCCACCGGGGCTAGGCACGAGGGGGGGCGGGAGTTGCTGGAGGGCATGGCTTCAGGGAAGGCACAGAGCACCCTCATTAAATCCCTCTGATTTAAACCTCTCTTCCTACAGGGTCTCGCTGGTGACTAATTGTCCTTATCTAAAGTGTGTGTCTGTCTGCTT